ATAAAGGCATATCAAACGAAAGTTATAATTTTTTGTGGTTAAATCATAAATTATTGAAAGTTTGTGTCTTAGGCAAAGTTTTGGTAAAAATTATGGAGGGTTCTCTTGTTTTGAGTTAATTATTAAATATTAATGAAAGTCAATAATATATTGTCATGTACTTTGGTAATATACAATATGAAGAAAAAAAAAGGTAATATGTAGTAGTATTCAAGAATTTATGATGTACATCTTAACGTAAAAGTTATATTTTTTGTGGTAAGAAAGAAGTTAAGTTTTTTGTAATAAAAAAAGTTGTCACCTTTTAATTTATAGGAAAGTTTATTCATAAATCCCATGTAGTCCATTTAGTTCTAAGAATGTTCTTATGAACCAATTAATCTTTTTTGTTTTAGAAAGTTTATTTATTTTAATTTGGTACTATTTGAGTTTAAATAAATATCCTTTTGTGATTTATTTTTTTAATTTTCTGATTCGTTTTCGGAATGGAAATAGAAAAGTGAAGTGTGAAAGATTCTTTTTGGGAGATTGGTGGCTGAAGTGTTGATTGTCAAGCGTTAAAATCTATATTTATGTTAGTGTAGTTTTCTGGTATTACACTGAAATGCTACATTTAGAAAAAGTACACTAAAGAGTTTTTGTGTGTTACACTGATTGGAGTGTTATGTTTAGAAAAAATACACTAAGGAGTTTTTTTATAATGTTACGTTATTACGTTTGAGAAAATTATATTAAGGAGTTTTTTAGTGTGTTATATTGGAGTGCTACGTTTGAGAAAAATATACTAAAGAGTTTTTGTGTGTTACATTGATTAGAGTGTTACGTTTGAAAAAAATACACAAATGAGTTTTTTTATAATTTTACGTTATTATATTTGAGAAAACTATATTAAAAAGTTTTTTAATGTGTTACATTAGAATGTTACGTTTAGGAAAAGTACACTAAAGAGTTTTTTGGAATGTTACATTTTAGAAAAACACACTAAGAAGTTTTTTAATGTATTACATTGGAATGTTAAGTTTGGGAAAAGCACACTAAAGAGTTTTTTAGTGTGTCACATTGGAGTGTTAAACTTGAAAAAACCACACTAGAGAGTTTTGTGTGTTACATTAATTGGAGTGTTAAGCTTGGAAAAAGTACACTAAAAAATTTTTAATATGTTACATTGGAGTGTTATGCTTGGAAAAAGTATACTGAGAAGTTTTTGTATGTTATATTAATTGGAGTGTTACGTTTGTGAAAAGTACAGTAAAGAGTTTTTTTGGAATATTACGTTGTTACGTCTGAGAAAAATACACCAAAGAATTTTTAAAGTGTTACGTTTGGGAACAATATACTAAGTAGTTTATTTTTTTGAAGTGTTACGTTTAGTAATTTCAATATTATGAGAAAACCCGCATTGTTCCTCAACACATGATACGCACACGTTTATGCTTAACCCTTTATGTAATTCACAATAAAATGGGACTTTTGGATTTTTAGGAAAAGAGGAAAACCAAACAATTCACAAGATCACTATTTAAAATTTATTGATACTTCACCCTAATTTATATCACAATTTTTTTTTATGATGTTAGAAAATCCATACCTTATATATCATTTCAAGATTATTATGAATGCTTTCATATAGCCTCTTAAGATAGAAGACATACATTTTTGCTAAGGGTGAATTAGGCATTTAAGAAATTTGTTTTGGTTACCTCATCAACTTTTGTTAAGTCGGTTGGCCTTTGAGCAACAACGGCCTATGTTGGGAACTTGGTTCATTTTTTTGCTTTTAACATATTTTCAGTCATATCACTTCTTCATTTTGTCATACGTTTTTTTAAAAAAGTCAAAAAAAAAATCAACTTTTGAAATAGGTTAACAGTCGAATTTTTAACTTTTTTTAAAAAATCGTATAAAAAAAATAGAGATTTGATATAATTCAAAATAGATTAAAAATTAAAAAGTAATTTTTAACTAAGTTTTCAAAATAGGTCAGTTACAAAATTTTCAAAAATAAGGAAGTGCAGTGATATTTCATCTTAAAGGGGTGTCAATGTGATTTCAGAGAAATAGAAGAGGTGCCAGTGTAATTTATCCAAAAAATATCTTTGTAAGTAATTAAGAATTTCGTACTTTAAAAGAAATCTGTTTTCCTACTAAAAAAAATAAATTAATTAAAAAAAAAATTGTGCTTTAAAATAAGTGTATGTTTCTTTCTTTCTTTCTTTCTTTCTTTCTTTTTTTTATAAACTCTATTTATATATAAAATTTAAGAAATTTTTTTTAAGATCTCTGATATTAAGACTTTATAAGGTAAATGACATACAATATTTTCATAACAGTTAAGGTCCCTTAATATTTCTACAGAGAAAATTCGACTCAAAAAAATATTGCCCCGACTTACAGAAATTTCACTACAACTCAAAGAAATTTTAATTTTCACAGAGAAATATCTCTAATTTTACAGAGAAATTTGAAATTTCTTTATGATTATGCTAGAGAAATTTTGAAAGTTCTCTGAATCGGGCAAAATTTCACTAAGTTGAATTTTCTCTGTGAAAATGTTGAGAGACTTTAGCTAATAAAAAAAACGCATCTTAGATCCCACTACACAAAGTTGGAGAGGGATATTTCACTAATTTTTTCTAAAATTTATACCCAAAAAAAATTCACAAAAATGATGATATAAATAAAAAGCACCTTCATGAATGCTTTTTTTTTTTTTTTTGTAAAGTGAAAGGTTCACATTAAATTACATCATTTTACACATAAATTATACATGAATTTTTTTTATACCATTGTTCAAAAAAAATGATATCATGATATTTATTATGTCGATAAACTACACTCATCATATTTTTACATCAGGTTTTGTTTACCATGTGATATATCCATATAAATCTTATTCATATTCAACCATTAATAGTTATACATGCTAAACAAAAAATAGTATAATTCACATTAAATTACATCATTTTACACATAAATTATATATGAATTTTTTTTATACCATTGTTCAAAAAAAATGATATCATAATATTTATTATGTCGATAAACTACACTCATCATATTTTTACATCAGGTTTTATTTACCATGTGATATCCATATAAATCTTATTCATATTCAGCCATTAATAGTTATACATGCTAAACAAAAAATAGTATAAAAATATGATAAATATAGAATAAATTATTTTTAAAACATTTTTTTATTAATAAATCTGATTTTTTGAACAATTTTAATTATGTCAATTTATAAAAACCTTTCAAAAAAATTATATTATAGTACATAATTTAAAATAAAATAAATAAAATCAGAGCTAAGTGGGTTCACAACCCACTACTTTATGGATAGCTCCACCCATGGGCCAAGTCAACCTTTTTCCTTTCCTAAACTGGATTAAACACAACTTCATTCTAAATCCAAACTCATTCCCCTTCTCCTTTCCTTGCACGCCAATCCACATACAAATACGTATAAATATAAGTAATCTCATCATCAAAAACCTTCTATAATCAATCTCCATTATCACCATATCACTTTCTCTCTTCTCTTCTCTTCTCTTCTCTTCTCTGCACAACATGTCTTTCGAATGTTACTCACCGATCGATCATTCTTGCGATGCATGGCAAGCCGATAACTCTATCATTCCATGCAACCTCGTGCTTATGAGAAAACCCACATTGTTTACTTCTACATCAAGATTTTCGCCGAGTTTTCAACCCATGATTTAGAAGATGATGAACAAGAAGATGGTGTTTTTCTCATCAATACCCTAGAAATCGTCGAGCACGAGAAGCCATTTTTCGTTCCATATGACCAATTGATAGATAACAATACATCGTGGTCCGTCATATCTACCATGCTCTCTGAGTTGCAAATCCCGATACACATCCAACCCTACATGGTACATCGTATAAGTGATTGTGCTCATTCCATGTCTCGCGAGGATCACAATAAGGGAATTAGGGTTTTGCCTATGATAGTCTTGATCAACATCGAAGACTATGTAGATCAGAATGATGACGATGACGATGACGATGATGATGATGATGATGAAGATGATGGTGTTTTGAGAGAGTCTATGGAGATGGAGTCGAGGCAAGTGGGTGCTAGTAAAGCATCGGTGAAGGCATTAGAGACGGTGAGAGTTGAAGGTGGTTCGGGTTTTGGAAAGAGTTGTGTGGTATGTCAAGAGGAGATTTTGGCTGGGTTCGAAGCGAAGCGCATGCCTTGTGGCCATGTCTACCATGGGGATTGTATTGTCAGGTGGCTCGGCGCTAGTCACTTGTGCCCGCTGTGTCGCTTCGAAATGCCTATTTGAGTTTTTGGAGTTGAATTGCTTTGTATTTTTTAGGATTATATACGCTAAGGGACTAGCTTTGTAATCACTAGAATCTGGTTTTTGATTTTTGTGATTTTTTTTTTTATATTTTTTTAGATGTACTAATTTTCATACCTGTGTGCATTTGGAGATATGATGTCAGTTAACCTAGAACTTCGCCTGGATTTGGTGAATATTAATGAAGTATGATTACTTGTTGCTCAAGGTGAATCTCAATTGCCTAGCATGATATTCAAAAACTGTTTTTTGAATTCTTAATTTTTTGTTTTTTGAATTTAGTGAAATTTCATATTTTAATCAAATTTTTTTATGTAAAGAAATTTGAAGAAAAAATTTTTTTTACTAGAAGTAAAACAAAAATGTGCTCTGTTTTTTTATATCTCTAGTGAATTTTTCCAAATATTTTCTCTAATTTTAGTTGCAACTTAAACAATTAAAAGTTGACAAAAAAACAAAAATGTGCTGATTTTTAATCTAAAAATAAACCATATATTATGAATCAAATCCATACCAAATCCACTTACAAAAAAAAATACCTTTCCCTTATTTGGTAAATCACAATTTGTCAGATATTTTAAGATCTGAATCAGCAAATTAAATCTAAAATTTCATGTCATTTGAAAAAAAAAAAAAATTGCAAGTTCATTGTCATCAATATTGATCAACTTTTTAAATCAAAATTCAACCTCATCAAACACAGCTTATTATTTCATTCAATAGACAAAACAAAAACAAAAACAAAATCTGAACAAAATTATTCCCTTAAAAAAAAAAAGAAAACAAAGCTAGTGATTTTAAGCAACTGCTACTACTTTGCTCTTCTAGGTTGTAAATCTATAAACCAAAATATGCTTATAATTCTCTCCTGGATTCACAATCTGTGATGGAAAATTTGGGTGATTAACAGAGTCAGGAAAGCCCTGAGTTTCCAAACACATTGCATCATGGGCCGAATAAACAAACCCGCCTTTTCCCCTCACATTGTCTAACAAATTGCTTGTATAAAACTGGACTCCGGGCTGATTACTCCACAGCTCCATCTTCCTCCCCGATTTGTTATCTTGCACCACAGCGACCTTCTTGAAATGTTTGTTGTCACCTGTCAGAATATTTTTAATAAATATATGTATCAGTTATTGGATTTATGCGAACTTTTTTTATAAATAAATAAATAAATAAATTAGGATAATCCAATGAGACGGGTCTTTAAAAAAAAAAAAAAAAAAAATTGTATGTTTGGCATCGGTGCTCTCTAATAGTGTCAATAAATAATGTATTTTCGTAATGCAAAAAATTTATTAAACGATCTCAATTAGTCTTTTAGATAAAGTTTTCAAAATCATTGAAAATAAATAAAGTAAAACATAGGATATATTCAAAATAATGAAAATGAAACAATTCAGGACAGAGGCAGTAATATTTTGTTAACATTACCGTCACTATCAAGCACGTAGTTCATGTCATAGCCGGATGGCAGCTCACTGATCTTGCTCCCGATAGCACGGGGTTTGAGGAAGTCGAATGGAGTGCCTTCCACGGGGACAATTTGCCCAGTGGGGATAAGTTGGCTGTCCACCGGAGTGATCTTTGAGCCCAAGAGTTGGAGGGTGTGAGAGAGGACGTTGCTGCTGTTGTGCCCACCGAGGTTCCAGTAAGTGTGGGTGGCTAGATTTACTGGTGTGGCCTTGTTTAGAGCCTTGGCTTCCATTTTTATAGCCAACTTGTTTGTTTGGATGATCATGTAGGTCACAGACACATCAAGATTGCCAGGAAACCCTGTGGAATTTATGAGCAAGGTGAAGTTAGATTTTGCACCCCAAAAAAAAAACAAAAAAAAAAATTTCACAGCCTGAAGCAGTGTAAAGCACCAGTTTCTGGATCATGTTATATAATTGCTTGCATTGTAGAGTGGTTCAAGCAAGTAGATGGTAGTAGTTCAAGTCAACAATATGATTTAGAATTCAAATTAAATCAAGGAGTGTTAAAATACACTTTTACAGGTACCTAAAATTTGCATATTAATTTAAATTTTAGGTACTTTTGGCATTGTTCTATAGGATGCCATTGGTGTTGGCCAAAGATATCTTCAATCTCTAAATCCCTTTGCTCTGGCCTAGGATATTCTGTGCCCAAATGTTTGGTTTTTTGTGTTCCCAAATACCTATAACTATTAAATCATGTGAGACTAAAATTTACATATTAATTTAAATTTTAGGTACTTTTGGCATTGTTCTATAGGATGCCATTGGTGTTGGCCAAGGATATCTTCAATCTCTAAATCCCTTTGCTCTGGCCTAGGATATTCTGTCCCCAAATGTTTGGTTTTTTGTGTTCCCAAATATCTATAACTATTAAATCATGTGAGATTATCAAGGCGCGAAAATCTTAAGACACATCCAATGATTGTACATGTTTTGAAACAGGAAAGACAAAGGATCCTTAACCTTTTGCCCAGCATACATTCTTAACTATTGGGTCATGTGGGAATCTGAGACGCATAAATCTGGACACATCATCCAATGGTGGAAAGTGCAAGGTAGACAGATGGTTTTGGAGACAGAAGTTTTAATTTGATTATGAAATGTTTTTATTTGATTCCCAAACCACCAAAATGACCAAAACACCCTTAATTTCATCATTAATTTTGGCCAACATGAGGTTTAGGACCTAAATAAAGAAAGAACAGTTGGGGATCAAAAAGACACAAAGTTGCATATTTTGGAAATCAAAAGTACATATAACCACGTTCCAAAATTCATGAATACCTTCTTCACCATCAAAGCTGTCATAAGTGAATGTAATGTGGCTGTCTTGTTTGTAACTTTTCACTGTCCATATAACATTACTAAACCCTTTGGGACCTCCTGTTACCAAGGTCAACATACATTATGAGTTTACTAAACAAACCAGTTAGATTTTGAAAGTAACCTAGAACTGTTTGGAAGAAAAGAAAGTAGAACATATATATACCATGGAGCGTGTTCTTTCCATCATTAGCAGGTAGTTTATAATGAATGCCATTCAGAGTAAACTGTGCCCCTCCAATTCTGTTAGCAACTCGCCCAACAATGGCACCAAAGTAGGTTGAATCATTCTACATACCTAACACAATTTAATTAGAAACGAAAAATGGCTACCAACATATAGGTTTCTTTTTTTTTCTGTTTTGTTTTTTGGGACTGGGTTTTAAATTTCGACCAATACATACAGAAATTTTAGACTTCTTATTGATATCCAACCAATATATCGACTGGTACTGTCAAATAAATATGACAATATCACCAATAGGAATGACAGTGTCGACTGATAAGTTTTTAATTGATTAATATAATGTGTAAAATATGAAACAAGAAAGGAAATTAATTACTCATTTTATATTATACTACACAACTTAATTTTTAGAGATTTGGATTGATTCTCATTTGGCAACTTTCAATTTTAGCCAAAAATCAAAAAGCCACTATAAGTTGTCACTCTCTATATTTTTCTGTATATCTTTTAGTAAAAAGTTAAAAAGTTACTAAAATAATCTCATGTGTCAATTTTATCTCCCTGACCGATCTTAAAAATTAGGCATATTTTTTGAATAAAAATTGCACATCAATAAAAAAATTAGAGCGAATTACACTAACCGATGTCACTTTGGTCCTGACTTATCAATTGTGAAACATTTAACCTTGAATTTTGAATTTTGTTCCAAATAAGAACAATTGAAGATATCATTGCTCAATTTTTATAAAATACAAATTAATTTGACAAAAATAAATGTCAAAAAAATATTTTTGAATTTTTAAAAATAATATCTATCCACCAAAGATAAAATTATGTAAAATTAAAAAATCTTTTAGACATTTATTTATTTATTTATTTATTTTACCAAATTAATTTTTATTATTTGTTTGGATGATGATTGGGTGATTATTGGACTTTTAATGTGTAATCGATATATTTAATATATAAAATATTTTTAGTTCTGAATTTTTTGATTTAATGGATTTATTTAATAATGATATCAAAATTGTTTCCATATTTGACTTTTGAAAAAATAAAAACTAATTTAATGAAAATAAAAACAACTCCTCATTACATCATCATCATCATCTAAACCTATAATAAAAATTAATTTGGTAAAAAAAAATAAATAATTAAATGTCTAAAAAATTTATCAATTTTACATAATTTTATCTTTAGTAGGTAGAAATAATTTTTTAAAATTCAAAATTATTTTTTTGACATTTATTTTTACTAAATTAGTTTATATTTTATCAAAATGATAATTTTTTTCCTTAAAACTGAGCAATCTTCAATTATGAAATTGAGCAATCTTCAATCGTCTTTATTTGAAACAAGATTTAAAATTCAGAGTCAAATATGTAATAATTGAAAAGTCAAGAATTAAAATAACACAATACCCAAACTATAAGGACGGTTAGAGTAATCCGTCCTAAAAAATAAGGTTTAATCAAGATTTTAATTTTGTCAATTTATTGAGTGTTTTTTTTTTTTTTTTCAAAAAATACTAATGACAAGACCATTTTAACGAGAAAAAAAAAAACTTTAATACAACTATGATATATAAAATGCATATTTTAATAATCGAAAGTGTGACTAAGCCGAATAGTGTGAATCATTTATAGACCAAAATCAAGAGTTCTTGATTTGAATTGTACAAAAACAATTAGCTTTAAGAGCTCTCAGGTTTTATATACCAAGAACAAACCTTATACTCTTCAACGGTTTCATACCCAAGAACAACATCATCTAATTTCCCTGAAATAAGACGAAAAAAAAAAACCAAACAAACAATTAAGATAGCAACATCAAAGAGATCAAACCCACCAAGAAAAAGAAAACAGTTCTCTTACAAACACATAATACACACAAAAAAAATTAGATTTTATAAAATTTATTAGTGGATCTTACTTTTAAAAAAAAATTATCTATTGAATCAAACAGAGATCGAACCCAATAAGAAAAAGAAAATTGTTCTCCTACCAATAAAAATCAAACACAGAATAGAATGGAAAGTATTGATTTATGTTTATAAATTTATTCTATTAAAAAAAATAGCACATCAATCAACATAGAAATCAAATACCCATTTGATCACAAAGAGAGAGAGAGAGGGGAAAACCATTTTTATCAGGGAGAAGAACAGAGAGAACAGTAGCACCCCAGTTGGTGAGCTTGACAGAGAAATCTCCTCTCTTCAGTTCATACACTCTGACCTCTTCCTCTCCCCCATTACTGCTACTACTCACATAACCAAACAACAAACCCAACAAAAGATAGCAACACAATACAGATGTTTTGGCCATTGATAATCTAGATTTGTATTTTTTAAATTTATTTATGGGTTTATGTATTCATATATATAGAGAAAGGGAGAGAGATGGGTTGTTGCTAATCTGGTAAAATCATATGAGGATAAGAATGACAGCTAGAGAAAGGAGCTATATAAGGATACAAAATATTTCATCAAAATTTTGACAGAATCCACGTTCACGTGACACCCACGCTCACACGAGTGTTTAGTAAAATTTTCATAAAATATTTGAAAATTTTAATATTTTTCAGATATATATTAGGAACTTTTACTATTTCTTTTTTTGATAGGGAGAGTTTTTTTTTTTTTTTGTTTTTTAATTGAAGAAGAAGTAAACACACACTAGCGTTTGAAGATTTTTTAACTTTTATACGTTTTTTAAGTTATATATTTTTTAACTTTTATACGTTTTTTAACTTTTGTACTTTTATACCTTTGAATATTTTTTTAACTTTTATACGTTTTTTAAGTTATATACTTTTTAACTTTTGTACGTTTTTTAACTTTTATACTTTTATACCTTTGAATATTTTTTTAACTTTTATACGTTTTTTTAAGTAAACACACACTATCTATTTTAAGTTGTATTATTTTTTTATTTTTGTAAGTTTTTTCAAAAAAATTTAAAACAATCCAAAAATCAGCTTTTAATCAATTTTTTAAAATAACTCTTAGAGCATCCACGTCAATCTCAGCAAATTTTGAGTCAAATTATAACTCAAAATGTACTTTTCTATTTTAGCTAGTCTCTTTTTTATGTACACACTTCATCAAACTTTCTATTCTAAAATTATATTTCATTAAAATATTATTTTTTATTCTTTGGAGTGCAAAATGATGTTAAAAGAAGTACTCCCTCCGTCCCAAAATAATGGTCCATTTTGGGAAATTTAACTTTTTTTTATAGTACAATTATTATACTTTAAAAAAAATTGATTTTTCAAAATTATCCTTCGATAGTACATTTTTTGAAAAATATCAATGTCATAATTATACTTTTTATATTGTTTATGAATTTAAAAGAATGGCAGAATAGAAAATTTTATATTATTTTTGTACTTGATTTTTGAAGAGGGACTAATATTTTGGGATGGAGGGAATATAAAATAAGGCTCAAAACAGCAACAGATCGATACCAGAGCAGCAACTAGGGGTGCAACTCGAGCGGGTTCGGTCGGGTTGAGAGGTTGTCGAAGCCCAGCCCAGCCCAAGTTGTGCTAAGACTTACCCAGGCCCGCCCAAGCCCGAATTGTAAGCCAAGGTTGTCTGTCCAAGTTCGACCCGAGTTAAACCCGAATTGCCCGATTTACCCGAATTGTAAATGATTTTTTTTCTTTATTAAATTATTAAAATTTAATTCTATTTACATTTTTTTTATATAGAAAATCATTAATACCATCAAAACAAATAATTTATATAATGTAAGAGAGATGCCGTTATAGTAGTTCTTACAATTTATGAGTGAAAATAAATAAAAAAGAAGAGTATGATTTTATGTTATTTGTATATATAATATATATTCAATATGATTTAATAGTCTAAATTACTTTAATATCATGTAATAACTAATAATTTATATATATATATATATATTTAATATTTTTATATATCTATACATGTATAATTCGAGCCTCGGGTTGTTCGACATCTTTGCCCAAGCCTGCCCAAATTTAATTCGGGCTTCTGAATTTTTGCCCAAGCTCGTACCAAATTTGAAAATATCTTGTTCAAGCCTTAAAAAGATTTGGGCTGGGTTCGGGTTGGGGTTGCTCAAGTTGAACCCGCTTAAGTTGCACCCCTAAAAGCAAAAACACAACTAAGGGGCAGTCAACCAGTCGGACAACTTGGGCAGTCGACCAATTAGGCCAAATTTGAGTATTTTCTTTCTTTTATTACATGGCACTCACGGGATATCAGGGAGAACATTCGGGTGGACGACCGACCATGGCTTTTTAGCCCAATTTTGCTCCAAAAAATATAATAAAAAATAGATTAACTTATGAATAGTGTCTCACTTAATCAAATGTATACTATATATTAAGTAAAATAGGGTTTTTAACCCCAAGCATTGTGGGAGTTCCAATCTCCCAATCTAAATTTTTTGATTTTTTGATTTTTAAAAAAAAAAATCTTAGCATTTGTTAACTTCTCCCAACTTCCAAGTCTTACCCTCATAATAACACTTTAATGCATTAAGAACAAGTATAAAAAAAAAAAAAAATTGAAATCCAACACATATAAATTCCTTGAAAAGTCAAAACACATATGATTATTATTCCTCATAATAACACTTTAATGCATTAAAAACAAATATAAAAAAAAATTCTTAAAAAGTTCAACACATATGATTATTATCAAAATATTAAACTTTAATATAATATAAAAAGGAAAAAAAAAAGACATTTAAAATAAAATAAAAAAGAAAACATTTAAAAATCACAATTCACATATATAGATAATTGTAAACACAATCCGTGCATAGCACGGGTGATATGCTAGTGGGGCATTATAGCAAAGTCAAAAATGAATGATTGCTATAGAGAATCTAATGGAGCACATGTTTACCGTTTTTATTTTCTACAATAGCTTTAAAGCCATGGTAAAGAACTTGATGTGGATGCTATCAGTGAGGTGTTTATAAAAAATTTTATTTTATTTTAAATCTGCATTGTTATATTTGTTTTGGTATAGTTTTTGAACCAAAAAAAAAAAAAAAAACTTGAATATTAAGGGATCATTTGGCATCCAGTTAAAAAAATTTTTTTTTTTTTTTTTTTTTTAATGATTTTTTTAATTAGTATAAAAAAAATTATTTTTTTGGTCCATTTAGTGTAAAAGAATTTAAAAGGTTAAAAAAAATATTTAAAAGGCCAAAAAAGTCAACTACTTTCTATTTTTTTATTGGACTTTTTTTTTTAATTTTTAATTTTTCTAATTTGTCTAGCTAAATAGAACCTATAAGTCCAAAACTTTTTGAATTTTTTTTTTCAAATGTTTACTAAGATGGAAAAAAAAAAAACTAACAAAAAAGTCATTAAAAAAGTCAAACCCAAACAATCACTAAAAAAACAAGAACAAATACTTGCTTTTAGTTTTTATTTTTTAATTATTAATAAATGTAAAAAATTATACCAAACAGACCAATATCAGTTCTTGTGACAAATACTCTGCAAATAATCCTCTCTTGTCAAATTCTTCTATTATTTTATTTAAAACTATTATAACCGTTAAATTATATAAAAATTTTAAAATACAGGAGTATCAAAAATTTAGCCACAAGTTTTGCTACAATAACAAAATTAGTTTAGAAAATTAATCACAAACAAGGCATAAAAAGTGAGTCCCACACAAGTAAGCCTCATCCTTTAGATCTTATTTGTAATTGATTCTGTAACTCATTTTTGTGAACTTAACTTGTCTCACTAAGCTACAAATTTTTTTTCTAAAAAAAATTTAAATTCATTTAATAACTACCACACACATACGATGATAGTCACAGTGACAAGCCTTGAAAATCTGAGTGCAAGTTTGAAAAAAAAATTAGATAATCTGTAATCTCCTCATTGGTATAGTGATAACCGGTTACTCTCCCGTGGACGTAGGCATTGGGCCGAACCACGTAAAATATTGTGTCTCCTTATGTGTGAGTGTGTTTTTCTGCTTGTTTTGATTTCTATAAGGTCTTGGGCGGGATCCCAGATCCCAACAGATAGTCACAGTGACAAGCCTTGAAAATCTGAGTGCAAGTCTGAAAAAAAAATTAGATAAGTGATAAACTTAACAAATTGTAATAATTGAATTTTCAAACTTTATCATCAATTTTAGATAAGTGATAAACTTTGTAATAATTGAATTTTCAAACTTTATCATCAATTTTAGATAAGTGATAAACTTAAAATTTTTTAATAATTGAAGTAACTTTATCATCAATTTTAGATTAGCGATAAACTTAACAAATTTTAATAATTGAAGATACCACTGAATTGTAATTTTCATAGCAAAGACGATTGAAATCAGGTTTAGGTTTGGGGGCAGAAGAAGAAGAAGGTGGTTGGAGGTGAGTAGCGGCTATGGTGGCAAGGGCCTGCAACGGTGGTTAGGAATGAGGGTAATAAAATAATTATAGAAATTATAAAAATGAAAAATAATTGAATTTTAAGGGTATAAGAAGTGAAATTGGTGGTGTAAGTAGAATTTTCCTTTTTATTTTTGCAAAAATATCGTATAATTCTATAATATCACAATTAATAATTGTTGCAATAAAAAAAATTTCCCCAATCATCCTACGCTGCTAATCAATTTTCCTAAAAGGTAAATTACACACGTTTTTTTGAAATTTGAATAAAATACAGTAAATCTCAAAGTTTTGACAATTTATGAAGCTCTCTTGAAATTTTAATTTCATATATAATACTTAATCCCATTTTCACCAATAATTTTTTAATTATATGAATAAAAAACTAGCGTTGTCATCTTTTTACATGAAAATATATATATATGATGTTGTTTATTTTTGTATTTCTACACTATTTGTATTAGTTTCGATCCATTTAAATTAAAAAGAAGGTAATTATGTCAAAATTATAGGGTTTTGTAGTATTTTTTTTAAACGTCAAAGGAGGTTAGTGTAATTTATCCAATTATAAATATATCTCTTTTGCCTCCACCACTAATATATACTAACGGCTGAAACACGCAATGTGTGTAATTCAAATAAATAAAAATAATAATAAATTAATATTATAATATGTGTCCTCACTCATTTTACACTTGTCTTAATTTCGAGTTTTTTACACTTTTATATATGATTTTTTTACTATAAATAAAAAAACTGTAAGAAATCCACAAAGTCCAACCTTATATACCATAGCATAGATAAATACAGATATATATATATATATATATATATAAAGCAGGTTCCTAGAATTTGGGTTTCATTGAGGAAAGAAGCTTCTTTTGGGTCAATAATAAAGTATGAACATATCATAATCTTTTTCACATGTTTATAATGAAGTGTCACCTCCCTTCTTTTGGATAGCCGAACAGTCAACAATCAATATAACAAACTATTTGGCACTCTTCAAGGCCTGTCACAGGATCTTTCAGTTGTAAATAAAGACCAACCATGCTGGAGAGCATGGCTTTCACAACTCGCGAATTTTCTTTGTTGCCAAACAGAAAAACACAAATGGAGCAACTTGCCTCCAGTCCGAGATCGAACTAGACAGTGTTATTCGGCCCATAGGAGCCACCACAGCTCCCGTTTTGATAATTTGAACTGTCCAATGTGTAAAACTCATTACGTACTATATACTTGTCAAAAATCACATTGATTGGACTGGACAATACTATTCGACCCGTGGGAACCCACTACGAGTTCCGTTTTGATAGTTCAAGCCTCAGTGTTTTAAGATAGTAATCAATACTGCTTATCTGTTTTGGTAATAGAGACAACTAATGGGGAGCCCTTTAAAACAAATATTTTTCAATGAGATTCAAGTAGTCATTGATAATAAATGACATCAAAGAATAAAAGTCTACAAGCTTACAAATTGGCTATAAAAGTAAAATTAACACAAAATGGACACTATACATTGCCCACATACATGAGAAGTTGATCACTTCCCTATTTTAAATAATAATAATAATAATTTTTTTTTAAAAAAAATATGGAGTAGAGATATTGATCATCATCATATTTCAAAATTATGAGAGTACATTGAACGCTTGAGCCCCGCGTGCAACCTTGATAAAGACATCCTCTAATGTGGTATCGGCCAGTCCCCATGCATAAACCGTGAACCGGCTCTTGGCCTTCTCAACTGCTTGGAAAACATCTGCAATTCTGACTTCTTGTTTTGGTATCTCAAACTTCTGAGTTCCAGATAAATGGTATATCTTGTTAGCTTTTGAAGACAATTGTTGTACCAAGTTCTCAACTTCCTCTTCGTGGTTTGACGACGTTGTCATCGTAAACACGTAAGACCCTCCGTATCTACCCTTCAACTGTACATTCAAAATAACGAATATTAATCCTTTGCCACTCTGAAACTTTCCATATCATAGATATTGTTTGCGATATTCTGAAAAATGATTATCGTGTCTTTATGTTGTGGCATATATTGTGAAAGATGTAGACACATTGTACCACATTAAGCGAAGGTGGGGAGTACATTCATGAATACATCAATGATTATCAAATGAACATGAAATTACCTCTTTGGGATTTCCAATGCACTGCAAGTTGCCATCCACAAAAATTCCTAGTCGATCACAAAGGTGTTCTGCCTCCTCCATTGAATGTGCTGAAAGCATTTGCACAATATATATCAATGAAATTAGAGGGAAGGAAATTAGGTTATGAAAATCCATAACAGAGAGACAGAGAGAGAGAGATTACTGGTGAGAATGATTGCTCGATTTTGTTTGGCTCGCTTCACGACATTCCATAAACTATTTCTTGAAGCTGGATCTAGTCCAGTACTTGGCTCATCCATATAGACAACCTTCACAAATTTGAATTAGACATTATCAGTACACCAAAAGACTAAGTGCTTGAAAAAATCAAAGAAGCATTGTAGATGAAAGGAGATTTAAGACGTACCTTGGGATCCCCGATTAGTGAAATGGCAACACTAAGCCTCCTCTTCATGCCTCCACTATATTTCCCAGCTTGTTTGTCGGCAACTCCTCCAGAAAATAGGTTAACACTCTTAAGAGATTCTTCCACTGCCTGCAGCAAAAGAATATGATAGTGTCACAAAAATTCAAAACTTGTCCTGTTTGGGATGACTAGAAAATATAAGCGTTACTAACATTGTCTCCTTTTCATAGTTTTGACATTCTACACGCTGTATTATACTACATCATATATCTTATATATAATACTAGCATAGATATAGATTCTGAGTTAAATCTCTTTTGAGTCTTATTTAGTCAAACACACTAGCTCATATCAGCATCAGTAGTGATGCACGGTACTGTACCTCCAACAAGCATTAGTTACTCCCAAATGCAAATAGAACTTAACATGACAATTTCAAAGTGAGACAACGTCAACTTACTTGGGATAATGCAGACCCCTTAAGATTTTTAAGCCTACCATAAAAATATAAGTGCTCCCTTCCTGTGAGGGATTCCCAGAGCAAGCTGTTAAAAAATAAAAAATAAAAAAATGGAAAACAATTATTCAGACTTCCACAATTGGAGGAAAGGACCAGTGAAACTGCTTTCTTCACATTGAAGAATATCTATGCTTACTCGTGTTGTGGGCATACACCCATGCTGGTGTATATTTCATCCATCTGAGTCCGTATATCCAGACCTTGAACGTATGCTGCACCAGAGCTGGGCTTCATGAGCCCAATCATCTATCAACAGAAATATGTGAACTTATTAGCAAAAGTACACCATCTATTTGCTGTATTGCAAGAAAAAAAAATATAAACAAAAAGATAAGCATGTATAAAAAAAGGGGCCAGAGGATGACTAGTCAAGACACTACCTCCCTCAATGTCAAAATCAGAACCCATATATTAAAATACCTCTAAAAACACTTGATGATCCCATAAATAATAAAAGAAGAAAAGAAATTGAGAAGTCTTGCATGCATCATTTGAAGGTTCAAGACTATGTTTTACTTACCATATTAATAAAAGAGGTTTTGCCTGCACCATTGGGACCAAGCATACCAAAGCACTCCCCTTGAGGCAAAGCAAGTGACAACCCTCTCACTGCGAATTTCTCAGGGTTTCCGTCCCTTCTTGGATACACCTTTTTGAGGTTATCGCTCACGATAGCATGACTTGTCGGTTCAAGTAGCAACTGCTCAACCTTCTCCCTCTAAGAAAGTAAAAAAGAAACACAAACATAGGGAATTTAGGAACAAACTTGAAACACATCCAAACCAAAACAAACCAAACCAATCTAAACTAAGCCTTGTGTCCCACTCAAGTGGAGTCGTTGTCAGCTACATGTATCCTTTTTTGCCATTATGCTCTGTCAATGATTATATGCTCAGTTAAATGAATTCATATCTTTTTTACTACCACATCTCATGTCAGTTTAGGTCTTCCCCTCCCCCTAAAATTTCCATTTGTAGTAATCATATCACTTTCCTAACAGTGTTTATAAAAAAGTATACATCCCAGTGAGTAAAATCAAGGATGCTCCTATAAAAGGTACACATGAAATAAAAAATTACAAATGTTATTCTTTTACGTAAACCTACTGAGAGCGTGTGAATTTACACAAGTATTGCCAAGTGATCTCAATAAACAAACGATATAAGAACCATCACTCCATTTCAAAGACCTGTTCCTATATTAAGGATAAGAATACAAATCATAACCAAGAAACACTTACCTCTTGGGCAACATCAGGTTTCTCCATTTGAACAAAAACTTTAGATCCCTGCCTTGCCATACTAGGTTTCCTTAATGACGCAGATGACAAAGGCTTCTTCCGAAATTTTTCCAAGAAAAATAAAGGACTCTTTCCAACACCACTTCCTAATGATACGACTTGATCTATGTAATATGCAACAAAAAGAATGACAAACCACTCCACAAACATGATTATTAAGAGAGCTTTCATCCCATTACTGCTATCACTCAAGTCTCCCCAACGCATCCCTTTAGTCCCCATAGAATTTCCCGTGATGGCATATGTTGAAAACTCATATAACCCACGATATAGAGAAAAGCCAGGATATAACTCCATAACAATAATCCAGCCTCCTACAACAATAAAAGACAAATTTCATGTTGATTAGAGTTAGTAAAAAGGTACAAGCGCAAGAGAAAAACACAAATTACATTTTAAAATTTGAAGTACCAACTAACAGACACAAAGGTCATCAAGCAAACTAGAACAAGGTTTAAATGGTATGACCCATGATCATCCTGTATGCCAAATTCATTTGGACTCTCAAAAATACCACTGTAACATAAGTGCCCTATAACATAAGACACATCTCTAAGGTGAGGTGAGTGATACGATCTGCAAGCTATCACTAACTTGGTGCATCACTTCCCCTCAAAAATGAAAATGCAACAGCTATTTTGTTGCTTCAATGGAAACCCTTCATGATCCACATTGGGATGGGGTGGGGTGTTTCGACAGAGACATAAACCAAAAGTGGCTTCAAATCCTTGGTAATACCAAATTTGTTTTGTATGCACTTCTCTTCCCGCTAGACAGAAGTAGCAAAATAATTTCGTTTTTATACCGTTAAATTTTGGAAAAATGTTTCATTGATACAAATTATATATGCATCCATCTACAAGGGTATCCAGCTGTAATATTTACTTTAGGAAATGACATCTGCTTAGATTGAGGGAAAGACAGAGAATTCATGTAAGATTGGGCGAACAAATGCTATAGCTAAATCTTCTTTTAGATTCCTACTACTTACTTGGGAATGATGTATCTTCAACGAAGAACTGAAAAAGAAATGCTCCTAAGAGCCCAGATCCGAAAACCATTATGTACCCGATAACTGTGATCATCAAATTTCAATTGTCATCTTTTGTTATTAGACTAATCTTTAAGCAAAAATAATAATAATAATAATAATTTGGCCTACTCTAACAAATAAAATTAATTAGTTGAGACCAAACCTGCAGCAGTCTTCACATTTGCGAAAATTGAAGCTACTAGAAAAGCCAATGAAATTTGCAAGTTTATGTAGATGAAATAAAACACAAATTGGATGCTGTAGTCATTGAGTGTGAAGAATTTCAACCCTGCATCAAAATCAACTGTATTAAAGCAACTTGATTAAAAAAAGTCAGAAGAAATAAAGTAGTTCATTTCTTGTCTTATTACCTATAACTGAGCCAAATACCACAAAACATAACATATAGGCCAAAGATATGACAAGAAAATAAGCATAAGTAATCATCCAATAAGGGCCGTCGCCAAGCCCATGCATTTTCATCATGATTCTTAGCTTTTGTTGCTTCTCATAAACCAAAGATGTCAATATGACCTGCATAAATAGGGAAAATAATTGAAGGTTATTACCATATATAAGAATGAAACAAATAACATCTTTGTAAATAATATTCCAACAAATATCAGATGTGATCATTTCATTGGCTATAAAACACAACATGCATGCTTCAAATACTCTAATTCAAACAAACACCACTGTTGGTGAAAAAGAAGGGGGGGAAAAAAATACTCACAGGGAATAATTGAAGAATGACCCATGTAAAGAAGAGTGGTCCAAGGACAGAAGCAAGATCAATCTTGACTTGGGTCTCAGGCTTGGGCATTTCTTTGACAAACTCAAATAGCATTTCCGTAGCAGGCCCGAGCAAAAACTGGAGGTAGGCATTTGAGGCCTGTACATGTATGAATTGTAAAAGTTAATTCTCCTGTTTGTCAATCAATGCAGCACTGCTTCACATTTTGCTACTTGATGTTTTCAAGTCCGTATCAGTAAAATAATAATAAATAAATAAAAATGAACCCAGGAAGAGAGCAAGTGAACTTTATTTTGAGATTAAAAAAAACTACCAAAACTGAAAAGTGGAAGTAATGCAGCCCTAAATTCGTGGATTACTTATCAATCAGGATGCATCTGATAAAGACTACAGTCACTACATAATCACAATGAATGGATAACGGAACAGAAGGTGTAACTCCTCTGCAAAAACATTGTTACTCCGCAAGATAATTGCACTAAAATTTACATTAACATGTCTTAAAGTACTAACTTTCCATTATGTTTGTATCTCCTGAAAGTTTTCCTCCTTGTTTTAGACATATCAAGCACAAGAGTTCCACCGATGAAGCCAACTTAGAAACCAATATTTAACGAAAGTGAAACAAGGAGGTCAAAATAAATTGAATTACGCTGTGTTTGGTACAGCTCTGGAACTAACGTTCCAAAGCTTAATTTGAACACAGCGTTTGTTTACGAATTTCAAAACTTAATTCCACACTCACTTTTGAAAACGCGGTCGAAAGCGGGAAAATTCGGTCAAAACCCTAATTTTTATATATTCGAAAAAGATATTTTCCGAATTTTTAAATTTTTTTTGTGTTTTAATAAAATTTTGAGTTGTATGTTTGGTTATGAGTTGTAAGTTTTTGTATCAAATATCATATGTCACATCAAAAATTCCCCACTCAATTCAAAACTCTTTTCAAAACTCTTTCACCAAACAAATTTTCCACACTCAAATCATAATTCAAAAACTCACAAACTCAAAATACAACTCCTACTTTCAAACCATAGTTAGAAAGCTCTAGCAAACGCAACCCTAGATTTTGAGCCACGAAAATATTACATAGTGGATAAGGAAAGCGATGAAGTTCAGAATAATTACCAAATTCACTGAGCGAGGAACCCGCATCAATCCAAGAGGACCATTGCCAGTGTCATTCTTATAGGTAGCATTGTACCATATACTCACATTGAAGTTATTCAAATTGGAGTTTAAGAAATCATAGGCTGCGAAAAAAGAATAAATAATCCATAAGTAAGGTCACTCATTTAATAGCATAAAACATGCAAGTCAGGAATATCCAGTAGACCAACCTGCTACAATCTCGTTAATTTTCTCTTCTGAATTCCCCTTCCGGTAACCTTTATATAGTTCATCATTAATTTCAGAAGAACTACTGCACCACAAATGTAGACCTTGAACACATCTAACCTCTAGATTCAAGAAGGAAAGAAAAGAAAAAGTAAATATACAAAAATATAAAGATTCTACTCAAATAATATTACATACCTATACCACAGAGGGAGAGAGAGAGAGAGAGAGAGAGACGGGGGGGGGGGGTTAGGGGTCATCAATTAGATAAATTTTACTAAACAAGCGAATTTCAACATAGTCTAGATGTCAAACAAGTATGTGCAGTTCTCATCTATCAACAAATAGTGGTTTTTGTGCTTTTTTTTGTTCAACATCAATCTTTAATTTGTGTGTTTCCTAGAGGGCCCAACCCATGAATAGAACCTCAACGTAAGGACCACAAAATAGAAGCTTTCCATAATTTGTAAGTCAACTGAGTCATTGATCTATGTTCTCTGAATGTGCAGCATCACTGTCACTGTAAAATATTAAATTTGTCCAGTGTCCATGTGATGTGATGTTAAACAGATGCGATCATCAGATATGTTGATGACCGTAATAAAGTTGGAGATCTTATTGATATGAATAATACCCTGAGGCTGAGACACTGGAAAAGAAGAAGTCTGGATGGAAACAGAAGTAGTAGAATTTGCAGAGCACTGAGGTTGGAGATGATAAACTGGTTCATTTGAAAAGAATGCTGGCTCAAGTAAATTGGTAGTATCCGTCATTGTATCTGATCCCTGAAGTGTTTCAAAAATTCATTTAATAGTGCAACAAAAACAAATAGCAAGAAGGCTAAAGACATACATATATTGTTATAACAAAAAGGAAACATAAAAAGAAAAGAAACATAAAAAAGGGGAAGGACAACTTACCATGATATTATCGGCAAAGCTATTCAATAAGTCAGAGGAATTCAAAATGGAAGAACTTGAGAGCATATTCCCAGCCAAAACTATCAGGATTTATCGATCAGATAAAGCATTTAGTACCACAAAAACAAGATAAAACAAAAAGGAGAGAGAGAGAGACAGAGAGAGAGTATACTTTGTCCAAAAGATTCATTATTCCCTGTATAAAGAATAGTTGCAGGGCAAGTCCCTGTATTCTTGCATGACTCAGCTGGCAAGTCGGTAAATGAAGAAAAATCAGTTTTTGCTGCACGATACTTAGGACCTGGTATTTGAAACAAGGGAGGCCACTCTGGAGGACTAGGAATGGGACAGGTGGCCACTTGAGACAAAGTTGAGTACTGAATCCCGCACACCCTCTCATTGCTTTCACATATATCCTTCCCATTGCTACAAGCGCAGCCACACTTGTTTTTGGGTTTATCAAGTTCCGTGTTGATTAAACTTTGCACAAGAACAAGCAACACGCAGAGTAAAAATGGGAATAAGATGAGCCTAACATTTTCCTTGATATTTCGTTTCTGCAAAGAGAAAATAAAAAAAGAAAGGAAAATTAACTTTGAGAACGATATCATTACAAAAATCCACAAGAAACACTTCTAAGACCCATAAGTTCATGTGCCAGGAATTAAAATTATTAAGTTACACTGTCTAGAGAAGAAAGCAAAAATTATTTTGACAATTGAACGCATGTTAATTTTGTATCAAGCCCAAATTTGCAGAGAACTCATATAGGAAAACTGCCCCAGCTCCAATAATCAAGGAAAAATTACTCCCAAGGTAAATGATTATGCAACATACACATGATTACATTATGAAAATACGGTGATACATGGCTACAGCCCTCCTATTCTAGATATTTGAGCTTCAAAAATTCACTAGTCTTAGAATCTTCATATTCGTTCTTGGATTTTGCATGCGTATATGTACATTGAATAAATTCAGTAAGAGCATCTTGAAATTTTGAGCAAAATAAGAAACAACAAAACATATCAAACATTAAACCCCATCCATTTGTGCCACATACAAAGTAATCAATTCAACAGGGTCTACCCTCATCAACCAAACCTGAATTCTTATCCTTTGCATACATCATCATCCACCCATAAAGACATACATATTTCTTAAGTGCATGCATATGCCTATATGTATGCTACCAGTCGTGCTCGTGCCACACATTCTGTGTAATATAACTGCAGCACTTGCATAAATTGATGATTTTGAACTGTGAAATTTATAATTTTACCCCTACAATTAAGACAAACAAAAGTTCTTCAACCAGCCAAAAAGCGAATTTTGTTGAATAATTTTAGAATTGGAAAAAACATTACACAGCTTTCAATTCTGTTCACATCAAAATGAATTGTTCATTTTATATAATGCTAGAGGTGTGGACACAACTGAGTGAAGCGATTAGATCAATCACGGCAGTTAAGTTAGATTTAAAATGGATGGATATTTTATTAAGGGTAAATTACAACTTTAACCCCTATAATTTGACCAAAATTTTACTTTGGTCCCTATTGTTTCAAATTGAGCAATTTGGTCCTCGCATTTTAATTCTGGTTTTAATTTGGTCTTTCTATTCAAGTTGGAGGATAAAATTAACATTTTTGGAAAACTTGTCACTCTTTCAATGTGTACACATAGTAAAAATTAACAAAAAAATGAACAGAAAAACTAAATTGAAACTAAAAATGTAGTAATTTAAAATAATATGGACCAAAGTGAATATTGTCACACAAAAAAAATGTGTAATTTACCCTCTATGAACAATGCTACATAGCCCGAATTTGAGTTTTCCAGAATAGCCCGAGTTTTGGCTTGCCAGTCGTCCGGGCAGTCGTCCGGCAACAAGATGACAGCCGTGATCGACAAGATGACAACCGCGGTAGATAAGTATTGCACCAATCGTCCGGATGATCGTCCGGCGTGCACAAATTCGGGTGATTCAGACAAACTCAAATTCGAGCTGCCACACATTTTTGTTTATTAAAACCTACAAATAGATAGATATAGATAGGCAATATAGATAGTATAGATAACTCAAAAGTCTACAATAAATTGTGAGTTCAAGCACTAAGAAATGAAATTTTATGCATCCCAATCTATAATCCACTAATGAAACAATCAATCATCAAGCGAAAGAACCCAAAAAAGGAAAGTGTAAGAACGAAAAAAAGCAAACTGTCATCAGGAACCAAGAACAAACAAATCGCTCTTAGCATAAAAACCCTAAACAAAAACTAATCATCATCACAAGAGAGAGAGAGAGAGAGACCTGGAAAGTCAAGTTCTTCCTGAGCAAAGCGTTGGCTTGAGTCCCAAAACTAGCACGACCATGTGATAAATCCGCCATTGATAGGCAGACTGCTAGCTCTATATCTCTCTCTCTCTTCACGGAAATGCGACCGTTAAAACTAAAATTCGCGCCAAGGAAGAGCTCGTGCTTGTTTCTCTCTCTCTCTAACTTCTTATGCAGAACTGAGAGCCATCTCTCTCTGCACTTGCCAATTTCTATCTACATATATACGTATATTGAATTGTATGTATTGTAATGGGGCTTCCATTTTTGAGAGAATTTTTTTAAATGACGGAACTACCCTTGTTTAAATGACCATAATGCTCTTCACGCGCTTGGAAATTGGAATGGTTGGTGTGAGGTCGACTCACGCTAAGTTGAAAGTTCAGATATGCCATCACGGTGTTATCGAAATTTCAGAAGTGTCATTCGGATTCTGCACTGGTAAATCTAACCAGAGACGTGTTTGGCAGCTTCAAAGTCAAGTTTTATATTTTAAAATTTTAAATTGTTTTTGTTTTTATTTTTTGGGGTTTTATGCATGCCAATAAGGACCAGTCTGGATGGACGTTTTAAAGTACTAAAAATTCTGCCGTACCAAAATTGTCATGTCCAATTGGTTTGGCTGTGGGTGAGGTCGGGTCGAGAAAATTAGCAACTAAGAGATAAAATAGATTAAAATTTAATACGATAAAATATTATATTTAATTTATAATTATTATTATTTTTTTAAAAGTCAATCCAAATTAACTTTTTAGATCCAAATTACAAAAGTTTCAACTTCAAAATTCAATTAAAATTTTTTTTGCCAAACAATAACTAGAGGTTGTTTTGACTTATTACTAAAAGGCATATAAAAAGTAGAGAAATTATATAATTTAAATAACTCAATAAACTCTTTTTTTTTAATATATTTCAAAAGAGCCCTAAATAGGTCCCATTTGTTTACATTTAATACAGGAATAATGTTTGGGACCACTAAAGTAGTAGCTTTAAAGCTGCACTAATAAGGTGACATTGGCTTCGTTTGGGAAGTTGCTATTTTAGTAGGTTATTTTAGTTTTTGGCTATTTTAGTAGGTTAAAATTTTTGGGCTCGTTTGGTTTGATTTTCTGAAAAAAATTTGGGAAATTTTCTCTACAAATAAGTTTTCAAAAATAACCAAACCAATTGGGAAAGAGAAAAAAAAAAAAAAAAAAAGAACCACTATTCTTAGGCTTTTAAGGTAATACTCATTGAAGAAAAATCTCCAACCCAACTTAAAAAAGTATTTCTTAAGTTTATTTTGGACCTTTTGATTTGAACAAGTGATAAGTTTAAAATTTAAGGGAAAAGTTAAAATAAAATAAAATAAAATAAATTAGAGGATTTGACAATTATAACAAAATTAATTTTTAATTTTTAATTTTGCTAATTTAATTCTTAATCTTTTGATTTATTTTTAATTTATCCATCTATTTTTATTAAGTAAAATTAACAAAAAAAAAAAAAAAAGATTCAGTCATTAAACTCAACAAACAATTATATTTTCAAGACTTTTTTTACCCAAAAAATAAAAATAAAAATAAAAACAATTTGAATTATTAAAATAAGACCCATGGTAGGCCTCACCGACCCAATAACACTGTCCAATCCATAAAATGGACCGGAGACAAGCCTATCCAGTAAAAATATATTATAATTCTATAATATCACAATTAATAATTGTTGCAATAAATTTTTTTCTCCAAATCGTCCTAACCTGCTAACCAATTTTCCTCTATTATTAAACTATCTAAAAATTTAAATATAAAATTATAAAAGGTAAATTACACATGCCTTTTTTGAAGTTTAAATAAAATACAATAAATCCTATAGTTTTGACATATTACATTAAGGGAAAATCGGTCTAGGGTCCCTCTTCCACTTTTCGTAATGGAAGAGATCCACAAAATTATTTTTTGATGTCTAAGGTCCCTAAACATATATCAGATGAAAGTTTCACTGGCTCATCTCTTTCCACTCACTGAAAGACCTCTCGATCGTCTTCAACACTGGACAATTCGATTTACACAAACTCAATTTGAGCGATTCAATGATCAGAAACTCCGAAACCAAACTTCAATTAGAAACCCTAGGTTTGTCCGGGATTCAACTTTACTAAAAAGAAGATAATTATGTCAAAATTATAGAGTTTATTGTATTTTTTTTAAACGTCAAAGGAGGTCAGTGTAATTTATCCAATTATAAATATATCTATTTTGCCCCCACCACTAATAAATACTAATAGCTAGAACACACGATGTGTACAATTTAAATACGTAATAAAAAATTAATATTATAATATGTGTCTTACTCAAATGATGAATTTTATTTTTTTTTTAAACCAAAATATTTGAATTTTGAATTTTATACACTTCTGAACTTTTTTTTACTTTGAATATTAAAATAAAAAAAAATAAAAAAAATGTGAGACACGGCTTCCCCACAACCTTTACCGTATACTATAGATATATGTCTAATGGGTTCCAAGAATTTGGGTTTCATGGAAGAAAGAAGCTTCTTTTTGGTCAATAATAACGTATGAACATATCATAATCTTTTTCACATGTATATAATAGTCACCCCGCTTCTTTTTGATAGCCAGTCAACAATCAATATATAACTAATCATTTCAAAGTTGAGAATATAGACCTATTTTTTTTAAAAAAAATTAAAAAAACCAAGTTACATGTGTTGATCATACACAACTATTTTCATTTGAATAAACAAAAAAAAAAATACTTAACTTTTTCTTTTTTATATTGATCGTTCTTAAAATATAAAAAAAAAAATGTTATAAAAAAAAAAAAAAAATGTTACAGTTTCATAGATTAAGCATACTTACACTGGTTTTTTTTCCTTCCCAATAATGTTAAAGCAATCAGCGTAAAAAAATGACAACATCAGTGTGTTTGGTTTTGAGTTTTCTGGATTAAGTTATTTGAAAATTGAATTTTTTTATTTTTCGTGTTTTTTTTAGTAAATATTTTTAAAATTTTAAACATTTTTTTTTATTTTTTTAGATGCACTTTACTTAAATGTATCTAAAAAGTAAAAAATTTGTGGAAAATATTTAAAAAATTAACAAATACATAAAAATACGAAAAATATAATAAATTTTCTTTCTCTTTTTTTTTGTATTTTTGGTATTTATTGAATTTTTAAAATATTTTTTTCACAAAAAATATATTTTTATGTATATTTATGTTAAGTATGTCTAAAAATTAAAAATAAAAATGGCTTAAAGTATTAAAAATATTCAGTAAAAATAAAAAAAATACGGAAAATAAAAAAGTAGAATTTTTTACAAACCGTTTTTAGAAAAACAAAACCAAACAAGTTTATTTTCAGGAAATTTATAATCAAGCCCTATTTTGACAAATAATGGTAGTTTAAATCTTACTCACAAAATTTTAAACTCATAATTCCTCTGTTAATTTTATATGACCAATTTATCCTTACAAATTAAAAAACACCCCAGCTACCTCTCTCTCTCTCTCTTCGTTCCTCTTTTTATCTCCACAAAATTTAGATTTTTCTATTTTTTTGTTCACAAATTCCAGAGCAACAAAGTTAGAATATCATCTATTGTCATCAAACATTGATATCAGTTGGAAACATTATCAGATTCGAAGTCGTTCATCTCTCTCTATCTCCAAAAATTTTAGATTTTTCTACTTTTTCATTCACAAATTCCAGATCAACAAAGCAAGAAGATCTTCTACTATTATCAAACATTGACGAGCCTTCACTTCCAACTCGGCCGAATCCAGTGACCGTGACGATAATTCGGGCTTAAGCATTAGCGATTGTATGGAAAAGTGCTGGAACAATTGCAGTTGTGTTGGGTTCACCACAAGCAATAGCAATGCTAGTCCAGAGAAATTCTCTGGGTTTCAAATTAAGCATTCCAGGTTCCAAATTGTGAATTGAATTTTTTTTTTTTCATTTGAAGTTGAAACCAGAGAAATTCTCTGGTTTTTGAATTGAATTTTCTCTAGGTTGAAACCAGAGAAATTCTTTGATTTTTGAACTAAATTTTATTAGGGTTGGTCCAGAGAAATTCTTCCCAGAATTTCTCTGGACCAATTTTCTCTGGACTGAAATTTCTCTGCACGAATTTTCTCTGGACTGAAATTTCTCTGGACCAATTTTCTCTGGACTAAAATTTCTCTGGATCAAGGTTGAGGGACCTTAGACATTATGAAAATATTGTTGATGGACCTTAGACATCATAAAAATATTTGATGTCCTTTATGCTATAAAATCATAAGATCAAGGACCTTAAAAAAAAACCCCTTACATTAAACTCTCTTGAAATTTTAATTTCATATATAATATTTAATCTCATTTTCACCAATAATTTATTAGTTATATGAATAAAAAACTGGCATTGTCATCTTTTTTACACAAAAATATATATCTGATATTATTTATTTTTATATTTTTACACTATTTGTATTAGTTTCAATGCATTTAACTTTACTAAAAAGAAGATAATTATGTCAAAATTATAGAGTTTATTGTATTTTTTTTAAACGTCAAAGGAGGTCAGTGTAATTTATCCAATTATAAATATATCTATTTTGCCCCCACCACTAATAAATATTAATAGCTAGAACACACGATGTGTACAATTTAAATACGTAATAAAAAATTAATATTATAATATGTGTCTTACTCAAGTGATGAATTTTATTTTTTTTTAAAACCAAAATATTTGAATTTTGAATTTTATACACTTCTGACTTTTTTTACTTTGAATATTAAAATAAAAAAAATAAAAAAAATGTGAGACACGGCTTCCCCACAACCTTTACCTTATACTATAGATATATGTCTAATGGGTTCCAAGAATTTGGGTTTCATGGAAGAAAGAAGCTTCTTTTTGGTCAATAATAACGTATGAACATATCATAATCTTTTTCACATGTATATAATAGTCACCCCGCTTCTTTTGGATAGCCAGTCAACAATCAATATATAACTAATCATTTCAAAGTTGAGAATATAGACCTATTTTTTAAAAAAAAAATTAAAAAAACCAAGTTACATGTGTTGATCATACACAACTATTTTCATTTGAATAAACAAAAAAAAAAAAAATACTTAACTTTTTCTTTTTTATATTGATCGTTCTTAAAATATAAAAAAAAAAAATGTTACAGTTTCATAAATTAAGCATACTTACACT